GGCATACGCATTATTGTATAGGCCTATTTTGTTTAAATGGGATAATATAAGATAAGATAATATAAGATAAGATTTGATATGACGAGATAAGATAAGATGAGATAAAATAAGATAAGGTTAGAGTAAGGTAAGATAAAATATGTTGAAAGTTAATTGTTACTCCATCAAATGTAGAAAGCATTAAATCAACTTAACAGAAGCAGATATAAAACTTAAAATATGGGTAACACAGATTTCCACATACAATCTAATTAATAATCTGCAGCTAAGCAGTTGACATGCATTTAATAATTGAACATAAACAGCGAAGAAAAGAGCTACCGTACATTATGACGGCATAACCTGAGTTGTTATCAAATGACTTCATTGGTGCGCCTAAGGTGGTTTAAAAATATTGTAAAAACGGTGAATTGTAATTTACATTTCATTCCTTCATTCTGAAAAAATATAATCTTGACCCTTGACCGTTAGATTTATTAAATTTAATACATAAAGTATATTTATTCCTTGACTTGTCACCCGTAAATTTACTAATCATTGTCCATTATTAATTTATTTTTATTTTTTATATTTACATCATCAATTATTTACATGTAGTTATTATCTTATATATTTAATGTATTTAATAATTTTATTATATATATATATATATATATATATAACATGAAGAGGGGTCCACGTGTGTTCATATATAAATAATATAGAAAAACAGCAAACGGAGTAGACTTAAGAATCTGACTGTGAACTTAATACATTTTTAGCTTTTGCTTAACAATTTTGTATCTCAACCGAGATCCGTCAATAGTTAATTTCCCACAGCATTCATGTTTTCCAGTATTTTACATTTGACATCTATTATAGTTATCTATATACTGTATTATGTTTAAGTTAATATAATGAATGAGGAAGACAACTAATGCTTTATTCCATATAAATATAGCATTTTTCGTACAATAATTATGAACGCGCTGTTTTAGATAATTACATATTTTATGCTAAGGTATAACTGCCAATTCCCAGAGCGTTTACTCGCGACCGGATGAATAAGTCGGCTTATTACGTCATCAGATTGCTAGGCTCCATTTATTCCTTAGTACAGTTCATGATGTAGCTATATCGATCCGAAGAGATAACAACGTGTTCACTTAATTAATGATAATTAAGGTTCTTCGTTTCTCACCTGGCATCTAAGTCTACCAATTTAGTCTATTCTTCCCTTTATGGTGAACTACATTTTTATTCTTTTTATATAGGCCTTTGCCTATATTGAGAGTTTATTATAGGCCTACCGCAAAACCTCGAATTTAAGCCCTGGGGTTTTTTTTTTGTTTTTTTTTTGGCGAAGTTTGGATGGGCTTCTTTCCGAGGCTAGTTTTGCAAAGTATAGAGGCTGTCTCTTATACACATGCTTCTATTGGAGGTTTTACGGTAAGATGTGTATAAGAGACAGGTCCTCGATACCCCCGACGAGTGGTCAGATTTTGCAGACGAAAGCAATGTGGGGGTGGTTGAGCTTCCATTAAAAGGTTTCGAAAGTGGTCCAGGGGCCGAAGCCCCCGAAAATTTTGACAATTTAGGGGTTTCAAAGGCTTATTTAATCGATTTTAGAGTGGACTAATATGTCGAAAATACATATAATTTTTTTTCCTCCCCGACAAATTGTCCTTTTCCTCACCGACGGGGGCCCTTCCCCCCCCCCGGCGCCACCCCTGAGAGGGGATTCTTTTCCAAATGAATGCTGAAAATTTTGGGCTTCTTTTCGAGACTACTTTTGCAAACTAAAGAGGGGGGCTTCTTCTCGAGCTTAAGCAGATTGGGCTTCTATTCGAGGTTTTATGGTACAGTACTGTATATGTAAATTACAAACGTTATTAGGCCTAACAATTGCAAACGATAAGATGAGGAAGCTATTGCATGGCATTTTGGTCTGGCATTCTGCTGGATGCCAACATCAGACAAAGAACAATTTTAGAGTATAGTATCAAAAAAACTGCCCAACCTGAAAATAACGGGTAGAATACGCGCAACTCCCACAATCAAAATTTTTTTGGCAGGACATATCGTGTACTATTTCATATCATTAATCTAATACACCTAATAGTTTTAGCATAGAGGTATTATTCCTCCTTATGTTTGAAGTAATACTGCTTCTTATATATATACTGTAATTTGGATTTAACAGCTAAAGATAACTGAATATACTGTACTACACTAAATATCTTTTAGGACCGAATGAGAGTGCTGAGGCGCTATAATCAAAGCTGGTGCAGTGCAATACAATATTATAGACAAAACCATATAGAGAAAAAAAGAGTGGACTCATCATTAGTTAATTACATTTAATGTGTTCATCAATAGTCTGGACAAAAGCCTGGAGTGCGATTACTTCAAAAATTATTATATAGACTGCCTTTGCACTGCATGCTGCATAATCATTAACATTATGTTTTCTCCAATTCTAGTAATTGCTTAATGTCATGGCGTATATTAGAACAGTAATATCCTTTAACACTTGGATGTCTGCAGAGATCATTAAACACAGTAAAAACAGCAGGCTGCATGCTTTATGTATTCAGCAAATAATGTGGAACATTTTAATAACACAAGAGGGCACTCCACATTACAACAATACTTTACTCAAAGTGTAATGCTAAAATTTTTAGCAGTTTGAGTTCTAAAATCGAGGTTATATTCGAGATGAAACTTTTAAATTTGCAAATTATCACCATGACTTGGCACTGCTTCATCCAGTCTCGACACTATGGCATCTTGCAAGACCTGCAATGGCTATATTTTACAAAGTTAAAAACAACCATGATGTCTCCCATCTCATTGAGTTCAAACTCCAGCTTTCGTATTTTTACAAGCATACTTTGATGAGCATTTCAAGTATTTGTCAATTTATTATTAACTTTTCTTCTGTCCATTTAGCTTTTATATTTCCGTTATATACTGTACAAACTTAAATTAACTGCACATAATTTCCATGCACCTCAAACGTATGTTGCTGGCCTTGGTCAGCCAAGCATGCAAATACACTATGTGTTTGTTTCTGGTTTTGATTCGATGTTCACTTCAGTGTTTGATTTGGTTGAGGGCAGCACACCAGCTGCAGGTAACACCTGCAAATTAAAGGTGGACATTATTGAATGTTAGCAATACAATTTTGCTTCACGAAATACTTAGTAAAGAAACTGTCAACAGCTATATATATATATCAATGCGAATGCAGAGGGTAATAGTAATAGAAAGGTTATGTCGAGCGTGAATTTACTCTACAGCTGTTTCATGCAGAAGCAATCTTCAGGAGTGAGTGGATAGGAAGATAATGGAGGTATATATGAGCTTCAGCAGGTTTATAAGTATGGTAATTGTGTTACATATTCTTAAGTGGGAATTTGTAAGCAGCTCTGGTCTTTTGTTTAAAGTTGATGGTATTTTGAATAAATTGTGAAATTTCTGTGTGTGTGTGTGTATATATACCATGTACTATCTGGCTTTTTCAACCCTCACTCACTCGCCACTGAGGAAGGACTAGTGTTTAGTGTTGGCTGTTTACTTACGTTTACTTTTTAGTTCATTTTTTATATGTTCTGTATACCAACTTACCTTGACAATTTTACCATGCAGATTGTAAGGATCTCTGAACTCATTTTGACAATTAGAATAACCCATTCCTACACCCAATCCAGCACCAAATGCAATAGGCCATGGACGTCCTACCAAAAAACAAAATAAATATTTTATTATAAATAAGTTTAACTAGGCTAGGGATATGTGGATAATTCTACAGGTATTCTGAAATTATTTTTTTTAATTAATCAACAAAAATTGAATTATGTATCACTTTAAAACTTACGCTTGAAAATAAAAACTGAAAAAATTAGTCCTACACCAAGTCCTCCACCTGAAAGATAGGAGAAATATTCAGAATTAAACAAGGGCAACAGAATAAACTATTCAGTTTTACTGTTTCTTCAGTATGTCTATGGTCTCATCTGAGTACTGCATAAAGTGTAAGAGACGTAGGCCAAACAAAATACTACTACTAGGTCTAGGCCTACTAGCCTAGGCCTGGCCTACTAGTAGTACTAGGCCTACCTAGCCTAGGGCCTAGGCCTTCTTCTATATAATAATGTAGGACTGGCCATATCCAGAATTTAATGAATTTCAGACTTCTTCTTTTAAAACAAGCTCACTTTTAATGGCAACTTCAAAAGCCAAGGGCTAGACCTGTCCTTAAAACTGTATCTGCTTCCACAAAATCCCTGAAAATATTCATATTTTTCATTAGGCCTAGGCTAGCCATGGCATTATTGACACAGCAGCCAAGAGACGGTGACATGGCCGCTTGCTGGACTCGCAGTAGGCCTAGCCTATACCTGCTGCTAGCCATTCTTATGCGGCTATGCAATTTTACTTCATAGTATTTCGAACCCACAGAAAGCATTGATAATCGATAGTATAAGAGAAATTATACAAACCTATCTTTATGATAGTGTCAGATAAACAACGATCCCAATTCTTCCCCAAGACATCCTCGCTCCTTTTGATGTCAGCCATTTCTCGCTATTGGTTGTTAGTGGCGTGAAACGTGTGACCCGCTTATTTTCATCTTGGATATTTCCACGTTAATAATAAACAGTATAGAAAATTTTCTCTATTAGTCTGATGTGGAGGTGGTCTGATCGGTCTGATATGATCGGCGTTTATTCGAATACGATGGGAACCGTAAAACCACGAATATTATACCTTGAACATTTTTTTATTGCGAACTTTGGATGGTCTCTGTAGTAGGATGGGCTTAAGAGGCTACTTTTGCAAAGTAAAGAGGGGGAGGTTTTTTTTAAATTTTATTTTATTTTTTATGTTCAGTGTATATGTTAGTCATTGTACAATCTCGAAAACAAGCCCAAACTAGCTATCTTGAAAAAGAAGCCCGTGGGCTTCTTCTCGAGATTAATCTCATTGGGCTTCTATTGGAGGTTTTACGGTACTGTACACATTGGTACCTTTGTCTAATCATGGAGGAAATATATTAATATAGTTCCTCCATGGTCTAATTAGGTACCCGTATTTATTAATAAACGCCCAGCTTTGAATAAACGCCCTCTCTGCGAATAAACGCCCAGGCCCTCCAGCGCCATATTTGGAAGTAGGGCCTAGTCATCCCTCGAATAAACGCCCCCGGAACGTTTATTTTTTCCTCGAATAAACTCCGCCTAACTCAGGAAACTACCGTACATAATTCTAAAAACATTTATAATGTCTTACTCCAGTAGAAATTACAAATTTATAACCTGTAAGATATACGGTAATAAATTCTTACGCATAATGCCGTAGACAGGATTGTCAAACTGTGTGGCACAATATCAGGGTGGACCCACTCTACCCGTAAATTAAAATAAGGACCCATTTTCTTAAAAGTTGCCCCATTTTACGCAAAAAAATATGAATAATCTGGACCCATTTCTTAAAAATTGACCCTTTTTACACATGAGAAATCCCATTCCATTTTCTTAAAGGTTGACCCATTTTACAAAAAATATGAAAAATTTTGACCCATTCTTAAATGTGGACCCAATAGAAAAATTTGTATGGGACTGTCCCAATAGCTAGCTACGGCATTGCTTACGCAATAACACACGCAATAAAACACTCTGGCGGTAAAATGTGTTGTAGTTTCACATTTACAGTGAGGGCCGTTTATTTGAATATCCATTTTACACCAAAATCGGGGAGAGCTGCCCCCCCCCCCCACCGGTCGGGGAGAAAGCACAATTCGTCGGGGAGAAAAAAATATTATATGTATTTTTTTACATATTAGTAGACTCTAAAATCGATTAAATACCGGCAAGCCTTTGAAACCCCTAAATTTTCGGAACCTTTTAATCGAAGCTTGACCACGCCCACTTTGCTTTCGTCGGGGAAATCTGACACCTCGTCGGGGGTGTCTATAATACGAAGACCCTTGAAAATTTCACAAACGGACACCCAAAAAATTCTTAATTTTGATTTTCTGACAGCCAGGTGTATTATCAAAATAAAAGAGAAAAAATAGGGGTCTTCGTTTTTGGGTCTTTGGTTTTCGGTCTTCGTTTTATAGACACCCATAAAACTCTGCGTTCAATGAATTAATTTTACTGTTGTTAACAAATCGTATTGACTCAGTACCTCACCGGGACAAGCACTGCGGGGTATCTAGGAGTGGCCGCGGGGGAGGGGTGCCATGGGGCAGACTGGGGGTGCGTCCGTCCGTCCCCATGCATTCTCCCCCTCCTCCTCCCCCTCTCCCAGTGGGTTCCCCGAATCCCCGACTGGAAGCTCCGGTGTTCTAGCCTTGTCGTGTTTAATTGTGGCCTACTGTAGGGGAGCCCTCCCCCTCCTCTACTAACCCCACCGTGCTCCACTACTGCCTTCAAAATCATGATTTTTGGTGGTAGGATCCTGATAGAAGATATAGTTTTCCAGTGTTTTATTAATAACGCATTATTTATTGAACTAATTATTGAAAGTTGAACTTGTATTATTTGTATACCTCCCTTGTCGAAACACGTTGCTTTGCGGGTCTGAATTGTATCGTGCAAATAAGTGTTGTTGCTATTAACACAATATCGTGTATTTAGACAATTACCACTTGTAAAAGCAAGGCTTGACGAACTGGTCTATGGTGGGAAGACACACACAGACCGAAGTGGGAGTTCCTTCCTTTACCTCCCTTTAGTGTAATTGTACTTTCTTCTTCTTGTTTTTATTCTTCGTGTGTTTATATGTTCTCTTTCCAAATGGATTCAAAAGATACAGATGATTCCGTTTCGGAGAATGGTAGACCTGCAACTCCGCCGTTCGGGTTCGATGACATTCCAGGCCTAAACATCAAAACCGAACAGACAACTGTTGATACTGTGCTGGGCAAGGTAAACTTGGTTGTAACTTATCTATTTATATCGTTTGCCAGACCTTGTCGGCCTAGCCTAGGCCAGTAGTGCGTATGACGATGTCCTTATCAGTTTCAAAGTATATTCACTGATGCCCAAAGTTTGTTCTTTATTTTGTGCTTTTACTTTGGGAAGGCCTAACCTAGGCCTATGCATAAAAAAGTAACGTTTATTTTGTCATGCATGGATGGCTATTTGATATTGTATTATATGTTCCATCCTTCCTAAATATGACACGACAAAACGCTAGTCGGAAATTATAATTTAGTTCTTTCAAGGTAGGCCTCAAAAACTCTCAAAATGTCATTTTTCCATCTTTTTTTACTTGAAACATCAGAATTTCTTGCAAATATGTTTACTGGTTCAATAAAAAAATCTTTTTTAATATATATTTGATTCCATTTTTTAGTGACTTGTTATAAATTTGCCCATATTAATACAATTATTTTTTTAAATTGTAGCGTAGTTTTTTTTAAAATTATTGCTTAACAGCATCCTGTGTGTTTTTTAATTTAACCATTTATTTATTTTAACTAATTTTCAACCATGTCTACATATTTTGTCCTTTCTGTAGGAGCTAAGAAAGCATAGGCCTACTGTAAGTTAACCATTAACATATAAAAACAAATACTGTATCACAATATCAAACTTACAACCTTTATTCATTTATTTATGTAGGGCTAAATTCCTGTGAATACAATAATGATTATTAATTTGTATTTAAAAAATTTTATAACAGTGCTTCTCAAATTGTGGGTTGTGGAATGGTCTCAGTATATTTTTATTATTTTTTAAAAATTATTGTTGACAATGATTAGACAAAAATGTTTACAATAATTAGACAATTTAAAAATATTCAAAATACAAATAAATAATAATAACAATCAATAAAATGTCATAAATACATTATATATAATTATAATAACATATTTCATTCACTAAATAATACTGCAAAAAGAAGATATGATCGCTAAGTACTTTAATAATAGAGATTAAAGTAAGTAATAGTAACTGATTCAGGGAAGACTTTCAGTATCTAGTCTCACTGTATTCATTTCCTTGCTCAAGCTGGTGTAACTGCCGATCACCGAAGTGGCTCCTCGAGAAAATATAGTTTGGGAAGCACTGCTTTATAAAGTTGCTATGAGTGCGACTATATCAAAAGCGTTTCCATAAATTAATCGATTGATTGATAGATTGATTGATTGGTTTATTTATTGATTGATATATTGATCAGTTGATAGATATTAATTGATTTATTGATTGACAGATTGATTGATTGGCTCTTCAATTGACTTGATGGATGGATAGATTGATATTATTGGTTGGTTGGTTACTGTAGTTGATTGATAGATAGATATTGACTTATTGATTTATATTGATTGGTTTATAGGTATTGATTTGTTGATTTACAGATTGATTGGTTCATTGATTGACTTGATGGATGGATTGATTAATATTGGTTGGTTGGTTGATTGAATAATTGATTATGATTTATTTATAGATATTGATTGATTGTTTAAACCAAGTAGTGTATATGTTATGTTAGACATAATAAGGTCGTTAGATGAGATGTTTTTGTACTTAATATAAGATAAGATAACTTTATTATTCCTCTAAGGTGGGAAACTCTTTGCTTGTCATTACAAAGACAAAATATATAAAAATATGAAAACAGTCATCAAAACATATCAACAAAGGTACAGTACAAGTAAAGTTATTATCATCAATATAATTGATATTAGTGTTTGTTTGTTATTATCATTATCATTACTGTTAAAATAATTATCATTGTTATTATTATTATTATTATCACTACAATTGCAACAGCTCTCATCATTAGATAAATTGAATACAATAAACATTGAAATAAATAGTTATCTTCTTGCCTTCTTGTTGAACTGGATGATGCCAGAGGGGATAAAGGATTTGGCATAGCGATTTGTTTTTGCGCCAAGTAGCCTCATTCTACCACTTGGATTAAGTTGGTTTATAATAACCTGATGGAGAGGATGAGAGGCATCTAACTCAGTTGGATCAAGGTTTTTCTGAAGATGTTCTAAACACATCCCCTTCACCTTCGTTTGCAAACCCGCCGCTTGCCAGTATTTATTTTAAATAATAATATTTTGGCTTTTTAGCACACTTTCTGCCTTGAAAACATTAGAACTTTTAATACAAAACTTATCATTCTTCTGTTGCCACCATGATTCTCCATGATAAAAATGTAAAGCCAACGCAGACACGCCGTACGACACAGCCAGATGGCATTTGTTGTCACGTTTGGTGACGCAGCCCGATGCCATTTGTTGTCACGTTTGATATTCTCACGACGACCTATATCTTCTCTCAACAACCTGAAAACTCTCTCCGGCGATAAATTGTGTTGAGCAGCATTGTTCTTCGATGCTGTCTGAGTTGGCATTTAAGGACTAGAACATCACCACATTACATTCACCATACAACAACGTGATGTGATCGTGGGCAAGGGCCAAAATGCAACCGCATTTACTTTTTACCTAATAGGAATTCATAGTTTTTTGGAGTTTTTTTGTCAAAAATTTTTTTTTCTCTACCTGTATCACTTTCTGACTTAGGTCCTTTGTATATTTCAACTGTAATTATCTGATATACTGTTAGTACCTGTACCATACATCCTTGTGCCTTTAATGAGATTCCAATGCCATCCAACTTGCGAGATCTGTATACAAATAAAGGTATTGGTGACAAATTCTTTTCCTTGCCCAGCTTTTGGTCATGTACTGTAGTTCAGGCCTATCTAACGACAATTTATTATTTAAGTACTGTAGTTTCCATTCACTTTATATCAGTGTTTGAAATTATTATCTTTATTCTATTGTCAATTCTTAGAATTTCCTATATCATTGCATTAAGCATTCAAGTTATGCATGCTTTCATTTTCGTTTGGTCTCTGTGTACTGTAAGCTTTTCACAGGGGCTTTTTTGATTTATTGAGAAAAGTACAGTAAGACTACTGTACAAAAGTTCAGTGGCTTCTAAACGACGACAAGGAAATTTGCTGCAGTTAACAAGTATCATAGACTAACACGGTGTACACATTGTGGATAGCCTTGTTATGTCAAGGATTACAGAAATCAACCATGACCACATTTACATAATAATGAGAATGTTATTACTGCATTGCTAGTGGATGTGGGCCTAATAGAATTGTGTAGTGATCGGTAATTATTTGTCACATGCTCTTTTGAAACAGGAAGGGAGGTTATAGTGATGAGAAGTTCAGAGATCACATTAAAAATCACAGTCATTTTTCTTATTTCAATTAACATTTATCTGTTGTTTCTCTTTAGTCAGTCCTGTTCAATATATTAGTGTGTACAGGTATTCTTTTCAAAACAGGGTTCTGCAAAATTTTAGGGTCCCATAAACATTTCAGGTATAAACCCTACGGTATTCCACCCACAGATTGCTGACATGGAAACCCTGTTCCAGAGACTAAGTCAAAATCAAGTTATTTTAACATATCGCATACAGAGGAAGTAAAGCAAAATTTAGCACCTTTTAGACAAGTTGAGATATTTTATTTACCCTAGCTTTTTGTGTACATAGTACAAATTCTTCAGGTGAATAGATTGTACTGATGTGTACAGTACATGAAAGCTTTCAAATAAAATGTCTCAAGTAGTCTGAAAAGTGTTGCTTTATTATTATAGAATACAAGTTTAAATAATAGACTGCTGTGGCTCTCATTATATTAGCATAAGCATGCTGGACATTCAAATTTACTGGTTATTTTGAGAAACAGGCATGAGAGTCTTCACCAATCTCAGGCCTCTAATCCATTATTATTTTGTTCTTAATTTGTTTGCATGGTGATGTAGCACCTCAAAATTGCTCAGCGTCCCTCCATGATTTTGTTGCGTCCTAATACACACACATACACACAATCGTTTGTGGAACGTTTTTCTAAAAAACTTGATGTCAGTGACTTCAGCCTGATCAACTTTTAATGTAATTCCATTTTTCATCAATCTATCCACTTTTAAATTGAATTAAAAAAAAAATAATAAAATTAAATGAACAGATTATAAACAGATACATTTCTTGTTTAGGAATCTATAAACCATCTTAGTTTATATTTATATTACAAATCTTTCATATTGTTTTTAAAGGTACAGCCAACTCGCTATGTTAAGTTTAAAACCTAAAAATTGTTATCAACCATCAATCAGTAGAACGTAACTGTATAATGTAGGACAAACAAACTTTGGCTGTATTGTTATCACATTATTGCACCAATTTCATAAATTTAATGGCTTGGAAGCTAATCTGACTCTGTCATGATATATAGAAATAGAATAAAAATTGTCATAGTCAATGACTTTTTATTTTATATTTGTTTTGAACAACAAGACTATTTTTCTGATATATATTTATTTATTTTTTATTTTATTTTTTTTTAATATTGGAAATTATCTGGTTCATAAACAATTACTGTATGTGCGTCATTGAAATTAGTTTTCCCCCTTTTTTTCAGAGGAGGACTGTGAGTAGCATCACTAAAATTGAGCTAGCATTTGTGACTGTTGCAGCGATAAGTGTGTTGTCAACAATTGGACTGACGATTACAGTGATTACGTTACTGGAAAAAGCTGATGAGAAACCATCGGCTGACTTGGTGTTTGCTATTGTTCTCCTTATCAATTCCTGTGAGTTAATCTCCAAATTTCAGAATAAAGAAAGCACTGAACTTATTAAGTAGTATTTTATTTTTGCTGCCCTCTACATTTGTGTCTGCCTCTGGAATGACCGGATTTTTGTAAAACATAATGATTGGAGGCAAACGCATACTTGCAGTGGTAGGAAAATTAATAATTTAGGTGAGGAGTTTAAACTAGAAATCAAGACTGAAGTCGGTTTTCCACTAGGTGAATTTATTCGTGCAGATCTGAGGCGTTGGTTCATGCGCATTCACATTTCTATCCAAGTTTTTCACTTCAGCGAAATCAGTAGAAGAAGTGAAAAAAATCTGCAACCAATCAGAGCTCAGGAAGCGAACCGACACTTTTAATTCACACAAATGAATTCGCCTACTAGAAAACAGCCTGGAAATTCCATCCCAAACTATTTTAATATATTTAAGACAAAAGAAATTTATTAATAAATTTAAAGAATTATGATCACCGTTCAATTTTCAGCTGGAATGGTATTTTTTCCCAACCTGATGCTGTTATTGCAGTACCTGCTGCTATTTGCAAATTAAATTCATCCCTAGCCACTAGTACAAGTTTGGTGTTTTAGTGGCGCAATTCTAGGCTATAGAAGTTTGATTCCCAAATGATTCACTTTCGATTTTTGGCCAAATAATTTTGGGATGTGTGCAATAACATGTTATTGGATAGAATAACACTCCTGCTGCAACTGTTACTTTCAACGGTTAATATAAAATGCTACAATGGTTTTAACTTTTATTGTGATTTCAAAATGAAATTTTTTTTGTAAAACTATAAGTTCCCTAACTATTAAATACAATTTTTCTTCAACAGTGTTTTGTTTGTATTATGTTGTGGATGGTGTCTTCTTTGAAAGTGCCTATGAAATTGTTGTATTCGTTGGAGCTGCGTTTATCTTACTTATTTACTGTATTATTAGTTTCACTCAATCTACAGGCGATACTGTTAAGACGGTAGGTATCATTGTGTTTGCTTTTATATTATTAGGTGACACTTCCACCCTGTCAGTGAATTCAGAATTGCTGCTGTCGAATTCGCTACATGAGATTAAGCTCTGCCAATAAATTACCACATTCACTAAAGCGGTTTTCTTCCCAAAGAGATAATTCCTATTGTAGGAAATAATTTCAACCCCAAACGATCCTTGCGCTTCATTATCTCCTACTTAGGAGATACTTTAAGGAGATACAGAATGTAGACAGCTATTATGCCTACCTCTCGAGCAAACACCTTTTGGTGGTGGGTTTGGAATACACACATTTAAGGTAGACACACTATGCCACTGGCCTTTTAAAAAAAAACCAAACCAAAACATTTTCAGTCAACATTTTATCAGCAGTCAAAATTTAATATTCTCTGGTATAAACTAGCCTACTAATTGTTTGATTTAGTGAGTGAGTGTTTACACCCAAATTGTGTCAAGGTACTCATCATTGCCAATGATTAATCTCATGAATATAATAATAAACCTGTTGAGGTTGTGTGAAAAAATCTACACAATCTTTGTTGTTATCATTTGTGCTGCCTGCTTCATACCTGTTTCAATAACTTAATGATTTTATGATGGACTCGTCATCTAATTGGTATTTTAACTTGTTTGTTTCAGGTGCGTTTCTACCTAATAATTATTCTTGGGCCATGTTGTTTTATTCTTGGCAGTATTCTTGCAAAGAATTATTATGAATCCAAAAATATCATATTCCGGACTGTTGGAGCAAGTGTCGAACTGCAAAGTGAGTAACCTACCAAATGAATTTGTTTTCCCCAATTTGTTCACTTTATTCTACAACTTCGATCACGTGCCCATACACAGTAGGTGCACGTGTGTGAGTTTCTGCATTAACATTGAAAGCTAATTAGGCGGTGCAGTGGTTGCATTGTGCTAGGGGCTGGCCTAGGCCTGCACTTTTAAATCATACTTTATGCTTTTTAATAAGATTTAATTTAAGTAAAAATCACATGTACATTGTTATATGATTACTTAAAACAAGCATTGTTACAAGTTTCACTTATTCTATGAGCATTATAAATGCAGAAAACTTCTTAATGAGAGCAATCATATATGCAACCACCGTATAAAGTGTATGAAGGCGTAGTAATAGTAGGATAGATAGTGTTCATTCGTCGATATTTCATTGTACAAAGTACGGAGGTTTTTCTCAACCATTCACAAAAAAGCTACTGAATAGAATATTGTTTTACTGTTTGTGCTAGCATTTGTAAATTTCCATATTCCACAAAATAACTTCCAGGAAATAACTTTTCGAAATAGCGTCGGTCGTGCTATTAAAAAAGGCGCTTACATGGAAAATTTAAGCATGGGGTACATTTTGAAATGAATAAGAATGGAGGTTTTTGTTCAATTAAATGTGATGATTGACATATCTGTATATTCACAATAAATTGAACCTTTGATAACTGTTAGCTTACATAAAATTGCTTGAGTGGTTACTGAGATACGACTCAAAATGTACAAATAAATGACATTTTTTACCCATTTTTGGAATAGAACACAGGGAACAGAACAAAGTGAGCCTGACAAATTCATATGGTAATATGCACTAGTTTCACGGAATAATGATTTTACTAACTGTTGCTGCTGCTGCTTCTACTATTACTGTAGTACCACTACCAGAGGCGGATCCAGAGATGTCCGAAAGGGGAGCCGAAAGTGGGGCTGATCGAAACAACACCACCCTAGGGGGTCCGCAAAATTATTGTTTTCTAGATGCCCAAAAATAACCTTTGAGGCATTTTGGCCGATCAATTATTTCTTTTTCTTTCTTTTTTTTTTCTTTTTTTTAACTTTCCAAAAGTTGGGACTGGGGGCTGGCCCATCCTCCTCCCCCCCCCCCTAAATCCGCCCCTGACTACCGCCATCACCACTATGTAATGCTATGACTAACACATTTATACTTTGTTTCAGATATGTGTGGCTTGATGTTGTTCTTTCAGACATTGTTAAAATTTGACTTACAGCTTGAGGTAATTATAAGCATTTGGTTTTGCTATTGAGGAAGATTTTTATTCTCGAATACATAGACACTGGTGGCGTTTTCATTTTTCATTGTTTATCAAAACTAAATTGCAGAATGCAACAGGTTAGCTAATACTGACACAATGATACCTGTCTCTTATACACATCTAGATGTGTATAAGAGACAGACCATATACAGTATGAAGGCGTAGTAATAGCAGGATGCTCATTCGTCGATATTTCATTGTACAAGGTACAGAGGTTTTTCTCAACCATTCACAAAAAAGCTACTGAATAGAATATTGTTTTACTGTTTGTGCTATTTTCCATATTCCACAAAATAACTTTCAGGAAATAACTTTGAAATAGCGTTGGTCGTGCTATTAAAAAAGGTGCTTACATGGAAAAATTAAGCACGGGGTACATTTTGAAATGAATAAGAATGGAGGTTTTTTTTCAATTAAATATGATGATTGACATATCTGTATATTCACAATAAATTGAAACTCTGATAACTGTTCGCTTACATAAAATTGATTGAGTGGTTACTGAGATACGACTCAAAATGTAAAAATAAATGACATTTTTTACCCATTTTTGGAATAGAACACAGGGAACAGAACAAAGTGAACCTGACAAATTCATATGGTAATATGCACTAGTTTCACGGAATAATGATTTTACTAACTGTTGCTGCTGCTGCTTCTACTATTACTGTAGTACCACTACCAGAGGCGGATCCAGAGATGTCCGAAAGGGGAGCCGAAAGTGGGGCTGATCGAAACAACACCACCCTAGGGGGTCCGCAAAATTATTGTTTTCTAGATGCCCAAAAATAACCTTTGAGGCATTTTGGCCGATCAATTATTTCTTTTTCTTTCTTTTTTTTTTCTTTTTTTTAACTTTCCAAAAGTTGGGACTGGGGGCTGGCCCATCCTCCTCCCCCCCCCCAATCCGCCCCTGACTACCGCCATCACCACTATGTAATGCTATGACTAACACATTTATACTTTGTTTCAGATATGTGTGGCTTGATGTTGTTCTTTCAGACATTGTTAAAATTTGACTTACAGCTTGAGGTAATTATAAGCATTTGGTTTTGCTATTGAGGAAGATTTTTATTCTCGAATACATAGACACTGGTGGCGTTTTCATTTTTCATTGTTTATCAAAACTAAATTGCAGAATGCAACAGGTTAGCTAATACTGACACAATGATACCCACGCTGAATAGATGTTTGATTATTCTCTCTGTCAAAATTCCTTAGCGATCAACAATGAGGGTGGTACCTGATGAGGGTTACAAGGTCCCTGATTGGGGTCCACACCTACCTTAGCCCCACCTTGGTTGAAGCTGAAGTGAGCAAGTGTTTTTGAAGAGGCTCCACTAGATGCCAGGGCTTTTCAAAGCAGTGTTTCTCAAAGAATTAATTGATTTCTTCCCTGAGGGGAAACATATCCAGGGGTCTCCAATGGGGGTCATGTGCTTCCTGGCCAATCCACTGACTGGAATTTAGAACATTTCCACTTGACTAGTGTATGACTATCCCTTATAATTTTATATTGTGGTTAACTTAGGTGAGCATGGTTGTGTTTGTACTGAGTGATAATACTAGCAATATTGGAATGCAAGACTCCCTCATTCTGGGTTTTGGACTTATCTACAGTGTTGTTTGGGCAGCAATAGGCTTTTTATCTGTAAGTATTGTTATTTTGGTTAATATCTAAATTCATCATGAAAAGCATTGTGTGTCATTTGTTGGTGGTGTGTGGTCACATGATACCAATAATGGTAGCTGAGAAACTAAGATGAAAGGAGTTGTTTTTTATCTACTTGAGTGGAATTCCTTTTTCTCAGCCGATTTGCGATAGGGGAGGCCACTTCTGTAAGCTCCTCCTTCCTGGATATAATTCAGGGGCCTGCAGTTCTACAAACCTAAATACATTCATTAGGCATGAATTGAACCACATACCTGTAAAGGTAAAAGAAAACTAATAAAACCAACGATCATATTTTTATACAAAAGCTTTTTATGACCTATGTTTTAATTGTTATAAACATAAACAGTTGAAAGGGACTAATTATAGAATTGATTTATTTTCTGCTAGGTGAGGTATGAAAGCAGGAACTTAGTTATTTTCTTTTATGTAACAAGCATTGCTGAACCTGCCTATATCATATATAAAATGGTTGATGTAAGTACCTTTACTTTAATGTAGATGTGTATATTACATTTATTCTTATATGTATAGCAAAGATCTTATAATAATAAGATAGCGTTCTCTGTGGTTTGCGCGTAACAAATAGAAGCGTCCAATTGACGCAGAAAACAACAGAAAGTAATTTTAATTGCAAGAGGGCGTCCTACACTGCATTATTACAGCATTTGCAAGCATAAATCGCAGAGAACGTTCTCTTGTTATAAGATCTTTGACGTGTGCAGTCAAAATGAAAGTAATCCTGTATTTTATCAAAAATTATGTGTATCTGACAAAGTTTGATTTTCATTAAAGCCCTGTCCAGACTATTTTGTTGTAATGTATGCCCATATATAGTCATGATGTGCCTATGTATGGTCATGGTGTGATGTCATCATGACCATATTTAGGCATGTCACATGATTTTGTCAAATAAAATTTGATAGTCTGGCCAGGGCTTTAGATACGAGTGATATTTATTTTGAGTGGTATTTATTTTGGTGATATTTATTTTGAGTGATATTTATTTTGAGTGATATTTATTTTGGTTGATCAAGTCAGACCTCACTCCCACAATTAATTTCCCAGTATTCGATGACCCATCAGTTTGTTTTGTTTTTGCCAAGTTTAGATAGATAGATAGAAATCTTTCTTTATTCTGGATACTTAGTCAACTTTTACATTGTTCTTCCTTAAGGTCCAGTTAATAGTTAAAACATTAAAATAAGAAATGAAAGTAAAGAAATTATATAAAAAAACAAAAGAAATTTGGTAAACAAAAGAAAAAATTGGTATACACAAGAAGCAAAATGAAAATGTAATATTAAATCAAATTTTTTGTCATCCATGCCAAACTCTTTGTGAACAGAACAGTGACGGGCTGTGGTTTAAAATGTAGATCAGGGGTGGGCATAAAAATCGGTCGGAGGGCCAAAGTGAACTTTTGATTTAACACCGAGGGCCGCACCCAAACTTTGATGTTCCAGTGAGCTTCCAAATATTCCAATCACTGCTTTTGCATCACCTTTATTCTCAGTTTTCAATGTTACTTTTTACATATTGGTTTCGGGCCCTGAGAAACAAGGTGTTTTCTAGCCAATTTTTGATTGGCGGGCTGCAAACCTAGGGTTTTCAGTTCATTGTTGTGGGCCGCAAAAAAAATTTGCTGACAGGCCGCATGCAGCCCGCCGGCTGCACTTTGTTGTTTTGACAAAAACATGTAACCCCAACATGCCTAAATATGGTCACATCATGACCATATATAGCCACATTATAACTATATATGGGCATAGAGTAGTAATACAACAGTTTTTTGATAGTGTGGCCAACCTGTGATCAAGATTGCTTCGGCTTGTGGCAGTATGGGTTTTTTCGTAAAAAAATATTTTCATCCCATTTTTTAATTCTGTTAGCCTACAATTATTTTTTCACTTCATGTGGGTAAATAATATAATTTTTATTTTTTGAAATTTAATCCAAATTATAATAATAAAAATGGTATTGCTAAACTGACCAATCGGCCATGTTTGTTTTGGTAACGTGGTAACTTAACACTGGTTAACGCATTCTGATTTACGTTAATCTTTGTTTTCTCTAAAGTCAATTTTATGAACCAGTCAAGTGAAAATAATACTCAACGAAAAATCGTATTCAACAAAATAAACCAGTCAAATAAGCCCATAGAGTAGCTGAATAACAAAATCTAATACAGATAAGATACTGTAGTAACAGTACAGTTGTATGTACAACTTCATATACACATCAAAGTTTAGGTATGCATCATTTTTATTCAATTTTTTTTTAGTGTGTATAGTGCATACATGCTTTGGGTATTGCAATTTTTTGAAAGTTTGACGTGACATTCAAAAGTTGTTGCTGTGAATTTTGAAAGTGTGCCATGGGTTTTAAAGTGTGCAGTGAATTTTGAAAGTGTGCCGTGCTTTTTAAAAGTGTGCGGTGAATTTTGAATGTATGCCGTGACTTTAAAGTGTGCCGTGTGGTTTCAAAAGTTGTTGCCGTGAATTTTGAAAATGTGGCCGTGACATTTCGAAAGTTGTTGCTGTGGCACTTATGGGCCACTGTACTGAAGGATTTTGTACTCAATTTTATGATCACATGTGATTTAATCATACTCAGAGTAATATTCAATAAATTGCATTTGGGAAAAATATATTATTATTTTTCACTTTTGTAGGTGATTGATCATGGTCTAGAAGATCTGATATTGAGCGCTATTATAACTTGCGGCGTGATTGGGCTTTTGATACGGTTGGTAACATGCATCACAATGTTTTTCGTGTATAAGAATTTCGGAAATGGTCTTAAAGAAAAAGGTAAGAAGTATGTCCACAAATTCAAGTGTGCTTTTATACAGTATGTGGTTTTCAAAATTCAAAATGGTCAAAGGAAACACCTCAAGAGAAATATTCCCAAAAAAATCATTACATTTAACTTTGTGACATATTGGGTCAAAGCTAGAACAAAATGGCTGCACCAGTAAAAGAGCACGATTGATGTTGATAAGTTATTGTTAATCAATATGGCTGTGATTCGGACAAGAAGGGGTTAATACTTAATTGTAATGAATGTTAGGCCTAGCCTACCTTTTTTTTTAAGCATGCCATAAGACATGAGCAAATGAAGTAATGGTAACAAGCAAACCAGAATAAATAATAATGAGAATGAGCCAGATGGGACAAGATAATTATTAAATCATTAAAGATGAGTACAAATGACACCTGTCAGCTATGTCATAGCTTCTTGTTGCATTTTAAGAAGACACCTACCATGCAAGACAGTTAAGTCATCGCAGACGTGCTTTTGTGTTAAGTGGATGTGACAGTTATTTTCCCAACCTAGGACATATGGCCTGACCTTACCTGACCTTATTTCAACATTTTAATACCCATGGCAGCACAGCTATTATAGCAACGCATTGCTTTTATTACTTTATCATTTTGTGATTTGGAAATCTTCCTTAATTAATATCTATCAAGTCATCGAATTATACACGCCAGAACTTTTATTTCGTAATTCTCCTTTCTGCGCTGTACACCAACATGTTGATAAAACTTTTTTTCCATTTTTTTCAGTGTATGGACAGACATCTGGAGACACAGCAGCAGTTATCAAAAATGAGGGTGCTTCTCAACCTCAACTTCCACCACCTCAGTCAATATAACTCCAGTGACTGTACAGCTTACTGTAGCTTCAGGCTCCACCGTCAGAACGAGTGCTTTGTATTCTCTGCAACAGGCACAATACCAAATGTCCAGCTGTTGCATCAATGTGATGTCTGCAACTGTTCTTCCCAGCCACAAATTTCATTATCATTGCTTCCAGTTTGGCTCAATTTATTGTCGGTGACTAGCTTATGCATACTAACCTGATTCTTCCACCACTACAAATGGAAAGAGAGAACTTTCGCTTATGCGCAACAATGTAACGCTAGAATGGATTCACTCAAGCATGACCATCCTAGTTCTCTGCACAACATAGATTTGGTGAAATTGGGTCCTAGAATCCACATGATGAGAAATTAATGTTCTCACATGCGAAAATGATTTCTTATTCATCATTAATTTCTACGTCGTACTGCTGCATGCAATCGAAAACTCCCTAATGGGATATCTGCAACTGTGTACTTCCTGGCCATATTAACCGGTTCAGTCTAATATTAGTGCTTCTGATCATAATGTTGCATTCATAATGTTGAAGACCTTCAGAATAATAAATAATATAAAGTCAATGTAATTATAAACAAGGGGATGATGCAGTATAACGTACGATGAACATTGTCATTAATCTGCTTTGATGTTTCTTGGACTTGTCTCAAGTCTATTGTGATATTCTTATTCACTCGCAATTAGCAGAAAGAAGAGTGCAATTAATTACATCAATTGAAACTGTTCATGTGTAGAATTCCCGCAGATCTCATGGATTGATTCCACTACCAAAGATTCGAGATTGAAATTATTTTTTTAAATTTCATATTCACCCTTTAGGTAGTTTGAAATCATGTGGCAAATAGTTAAAAATCACAGGATTTGAACCAAGCATTTTGGGATTCAAAGTAGTGCACCTCAACCATCAGACTACATGATTACTCATATAATTTTATATTCCTTAATTTTTGTTGTAAAACTAATAATTTTTTTTAGCTAAAAAAGTATTTTTATAAGTCTAATTTCTTTTTAAATTTCTTTTAAATTATGTAAATACTTTATATCGCAATTATATATATATATATATATACAAATACATTTTGTTTTCCAAGTGTATGAAAAGATTCAAAACTTATTCCAAGATGGATTATCAACAGGAGTTTTGAGTTAGAAGAAGTCATTTCTGGCATATATGTTTAAGCAAGATTTCTAATTTTTGCAATCTAATTTTGTTTTTCTGCTTCCGGCGGCAATACAAATCTACACTGACTTCCGTGAGAAAAAATATAATTAAGTGGTAATACGGCAATAAAAAAGTAATGAATTTGTGGGAGATGGGTTATTTTCCGAGATATTGTGGTTCGGTTGGGGGAGTGTGGGAGGCCGTTGTGATTTACGGGAGACTCCAGCAATTTGTGGGAGACATGGGCCTCCTGAATCAATTTCAAGATACACTGTCTGTGTTTTGAGGTAATGAAAAAAAAAAAATAGATGTGGATTTTTTGTTTATTGAAGTACCAAAAAGACATTAAAGCATTCATTTGAATTAATAACCTATAAGAAGAAATGTACACTTCCTCCCAAATTAAGAGTCTTAATTAGTATTGATCATTAGAATTATATCACTATTCAAGTAGTGTGGATTACAGTATTATTAACTCTTGTATGTACATCTAACTTTATATTCCATTTAAAGTAAATGCAAAGAGTAAATTGTATACAGTATTGATGAGAGGATATTGTGTTACAATTTGAATGTGGCTGTTTTGGGACAATCTTAGTAAATGCATAAAGTGGTACAGAACATGTTTGATTACGCAGGACAGATTTGGGATAGGGTGGGGATCTTGGGATGGAGATAGCTAGATAGTTTTCAATGTCAGAGTTTTTATTCAATCTTTCGTAGAATTGTGTTTATATATATTGGTGCATCTAAGATTAATACTATTATCATTAAGTTGATATCATTTTATAATGTAAGTAGGCAATTGTATCTTTGGACATACTTTTATTTGAATAATGCGATCCAAATAAAAGTTCTTTTACACGCTAAATTTTTTTGTGCATCAATAATTATGGTCTAAGTTAACTTATTTAATGGCGATATTGGTTGGTGGTCATTGTGCCATTTATGAAGGTGAAAACAAGGATCATGATGACGGTGGCTATGACAACTTTTATGACAGTGCATCAGGTAAATTGTGTGGAAAAATAAAAGGGAGGTGCAAGTACCAGGAGGAGAGTAAAAAACTCAACCATGGTGTTTACATTTTGTAATTTTTATTTGTAAAAAATATCCAAATTTTAAGATGGGTTAACATTAATATATTTATGGATAAAATGTTTCACATTTTGGAAAAGCCCATATATAAACGTCATTTGTTTAAATCTATACTCGCTATCACCAACAGCTTTCGTCAACGCTAAATTGGCCAGGCCCGAATCGGAGAGCCTTCTCGATTATATCGTGAACAGCTACGTAGTGTAACGATGGTGAAAATGTATCAACAGTGAAGCAATTTTATGGAGACCAGACTAGTACAGTTTTTCATAAGAATGGATTGTTCTATTAGGCCATTTTTTGTACATTACTGCAAACTGATTTAACTAAATCCCACGATTGTTAATGTGTCTAACTGATTCTAATGAAATTTAAATGGGTATTTCGAAACTTCAGCCCGCTTCCTGCTGAAAATGCATTTCAAAATTCAAACTTGCATACAGTATGTGCATATGAGGTGTTTTATAGTTTGCTGCCCTCTATATTCAGCATTAATTCCCAAGCTTTTAGAAATTCATTGTACAGTATATTTGACTTTTTGTCTAATTGTTTTTATTATATATTATGTGTCTTCAATTAATTGTTTCAATTTGCTTCGGATGGCGTATATGTCTAATAAGTATTCTTTCGTCGCTTTCTTGGATTCTAGCATTTTTTTCTCGCAGTGCAAAATCCTACATCTAAAATGTAAATTTTCCGAGCAGTACTACTGTACTGATGTGTCTTCCTCTTTCTTTTCTTATCCCTTCTCAATGACCAACGCCACCACTGATAGACCTACTATAATTAACTCTCAAACTTTGTAAATCGTCTATGTAAATCCTACAAACATTTCATTACATACACTGTGCCAGTGTCTGAAATCCGGGGTGGGCGGGTGTGGGAAAATTGAGTGGGAAAGATGAAATTTTAGGGGGAAATATGCTGTGGTGGCTCGAGGTGGGCGTGGTCGGTCGTCACTTACAATGTCGCGAGGCCCCCGAAAAATATGACGAGGCTTATTTAATCGATCTTTATAGATAAATGGAAACTGGGGGGGGGGGGATCCAGACGGCGGAAGCACGTGAACATCCCCTACCCACCTTTGCCACTAAATTTTAAAATTTCTAGGCATAAGGCCCTATATTAAAATTACCGCTCTTATCTATTCTTAATACGTTGTGGCCCAGCCCCCTCGTTTGAAAAATTATGGATCCGCCCGTGGGGGGGGGAGGGGGTGGGAAAGAACTTTATCTGAGGGAAATTACCCGCCTCCCCCACCCATAAAAAAAAAAAAAAATTAACACCGCCACTTACGGTAACTGTAGCATAAATGATGAACGTTTTAAGTCATTTCTTTAATTGAATGTGCAGCTTGATGTTATTTTTTTCAGGCATTGTTGAAATTTGACTTACAGCTTGGTGTATGATGTAATTCAACGCAGCATGATCTGCCTTTTTTTAAACGCTATTAGCGACAATCTCAATCTTGTAGAAGTGATGACGAATGATACCTAAGGATCATTGAATTGGAAGATTACGTCATGTATTTCTTTTCAGTAAGTATATTTTGACAATTGCCTGTCAGTCTATTCAAATTATACACCAGACATAATTTAATTACCGTAATTTGAGATGTATACTCTACTCTTAAATTGTTTTCACCTTAAATAGTAAAATGGGTGAATAAACTAAGGAGTTATAACACTAGTTTAAGCCTTTGTAATTGTTTCAACAGGCCACTGCAGTGGTCGAGCAATGTTTAAATATTTGATTATACTCTAATTTTACACATTAATATATAGGCTACACATAATTTTTTAGCCTAAGTGTAGGCTTATTAAACATTTGCCACAAAAAAAAGAGTACGGTTTAGTCCACTTGTTAAAATTGAAAACGAAATTGTAATTTGTTGGACTGATAACACTCTGTCACTGAACTGTTGCATGTGAAAGAAATTATTAAGACGCCTTTTTTATATTCCTTAATAAACTAGAGTAGACTATTCGATTTTTGAATACTTACATATGCATGAATGATTGAAATGGCCACTTCATAATTGTTTATTATCTGTTGCAGAAATAAAGTAAGGTGTTGCATTGTTATGCCTGCCTACATCTTATATGAAATAGCGGTAAGTAAGGGCCTATGTTTATTTATTTATTTTTTTTTCAAAATTGCATGCAGAAAGCCAAGAAAAACGGTTATCTTTTGTATGTTTTTGTTTATGAAAATTAGGCTATCTCGTGGCATGTTGCATGTGTTTTATTCGGTAGCTTTGCCTGTGACTGCTGTTGCATTTCAGAAGCCTTTCTTACCAGTACCGCGGTATGTCCTCGTGTTTGTTTTTTGTGTTTAGCCCAAGTCTATAAGTTTCTTGTACAGGTTGAAACACAAAACTTCAAAGCAGTGGGTATGGTGATGATGATAAATTATCCAAATAAGGGAAGATGATATTGATAAAATAATGATGATTATGATAATAATAAATGGGCCTAATGGTAATGATGATAATTTTACTGATTTTGCAGTCAAATGAAATTAATCCTATACTTTTGCAATTACTGGAAGATACATAATCTTGTAACAACGTTCGTTTGGTGTTTCATTTAGATACAATACGGAATGTAAAGATTGATGACTTTTTTTTTCTATTGTTGATCAAGTCAGACCTCACTCTTTCAACGCATTTCCCAGTATTCTATGACTCATTTTGTCTTGTTTTTGCCAACTTTGTCATCAACGTCGAACTCTACACATTCTTTATGTGAACAGAATACTGTGTTGCTTTTAATTGGACATGTGTACATGACGGAATTTAAGGGGTAGAGATATGAGTTCTTCGTTGGAAACATTAATTCACAACATACGGTTGCTGAAAGACAACCCATATGGAGCAAGATAGTATAGTGATTGAGGACTCAAAAATATAGATAAACAAATCATCGTGTTGAGATTCAAATCTGTATTAGTCATCTTTGGATGTAATAGTAACATGCTCTTTTTGCCGTACCATTTATTTCTTATATAATATAATTTTTTTTATATAACAAGAGTAGTCTTGAAGTATATACGGATTTCACCCTCAATGAAAACTTTTTTCCCGACTTCCTAATCGGCTTTTTCTTTTCTTCGTAACTTTTAAAAGTCAAAGTTCATCCTTTTTTCTTCTCCAAAATAAATACATAAAACGATTGTTTATTCTAAAAAAAAAAAAATAATAATACCTAGACAGATACCTCTATCTCAATTATGTTAAACTAACTTGAACATCTTTTTTTAGCAGTCCTTATCGTTTCCAGATGTTTGTCTCTCCTTTTTTCTTCCTACATTTTACTCTAAATTGATTCAAATTCAGCAAACGTTTTAATGATCGATTGACTCATATTGTAAGTTTCCACGTGACATCATTGTTAAGACTTTTCCAATATAAAACAAGATAATGTAGTATAAATGTAGGTGTTTAGTGTCTTCTATACTTGTAAATGTAGCTGAATCATACTCGCATACACCCTCCTCTAAATATGAAGCTTTTCGACGGAAACGGGAAATGAAAAGTGAAATGTAGAGCCTAATATAGGCAACTCAACTCAAGGTCATAACATAATCTCACCTTTGAAGCAAATAGAACTTATCTAATATCATCAGTCATTTTTGCTGTTTCAGAACGTTTTACCTGTATGGAATCTACTTGACAAAACAATTGTTTTGACTTTTAAAGAATATTTTAATGAAAAGCAACATGTGTTTTCATGTTCCAGTGAGCACTTATTAAGGGCCTGAAAGTGCGAGAACGGAGCAGAGCCATTAATTCCTTCAGCTGTCTTCTTCTTGACTCCTTGGTTGTCTCCTTTCGTTATTTTTAGGATATTTCTCGGTTTAGATTTGTTTTCTGTCAAGACGTTTAAGTGCTTAGAGAGTGTTCCTGTAATAATAATGCGCTATACAAGTACACGACCATTACAATTACTCTTTAATTGTGACAAAAAGTTGTCGACATTATAAGACTTCATGAAGGAATTCTTCGTGTATAGATATTCTATACACGTTCCAGCGTTTTTTTAAATTCTTTTCATATCACATTATATACAGTGGCAGATTTAAGGGGGAAAAGCCCCCCTGCATTTTTTCAAAATTAAAAAAATAGAGAAAAAAGGAAAATATTAATCAAATTTAGGCCTCAGAGTGCTATTTAGAGATGCCATAATCATAAATTTTCTTACCTCAGCCCCAACCTGAGGTGGTGTAGACTCTCCATCTGTGAAGGTCCCTCCCTTTCCCCCTCCCCCTCTATATCTAATTCCTGGATCCGTCACGGATATTAATTATTTCACCATTTCAAATTTACAAATGTGGAAGCGGTTGGGCGCAGCAGGAACGTTTTGGTTTCCCAAACTCGAGGTCGGGGTTTCAATCCGTCGCTGTGCATTTCGCTTGTATCCTTGAGCACTTTATCTGCATTGCTTCTCTCCACCCAGGAGTATGAATGGATACCTGGTGGGGTTGCCTGGTCCTGTGCTGATTACCAGCAGCAGCACTTAAAGCATGTGGACCCAATGCTATGAAAGAAGTGCGCTTTATAACCTCAAGGAAGAGACGCATTATAAATGCCTGTACCAGTAATATACAAAACGACTTATGCTACCTTAATCCAGTAGAGTTGAATAGTGGTGTTTAACAGGAACAGAGTTAAGGAGCCCCACCCCTTTTGGAAAGAAAAAGAAAAAGAAAGAAAGAAAAGAAATAACTGATCGCCCAAAACGCCTCATATAGGTTATTTTCGGGCGTCTAGAT